TGAGGACGACGATGATGACGATGATGATGATGATGAGGACGATGATGATGCGCCAAGAGCAAGTGAAAATGGGCTATGCCTATCTAGTGGATCGACTTCTGCTGGAGCATTTCAACTAGGCATTGCGCCGAATTTCCGGTGAGTTATCTGTTTCCTTGAGACAAATCGAATCCCTTAATAATCTATCTGCTTCTTAAAGGGACATTATTTCCTCATAAACTTAATAAAACAGTGTAATATATCGTCCATGCCCTTTATTTTTTTTTTAAATTTTCCCGAGTTCACCTATCACTATTCTTAACCAATTTCACTCTATTTATTATACTTTCATTAATATTCACTCATATGCCTATTTTCTTGAATATATTATTGTTGCTGTCTTCACAACAATCTTATCTCAAAAGACTCTTCGAAACCATTTGATTAAATTACCTAATTGGCCAACTCAGGAACCTGATGGTCTAGTAGCTTGCACTTTTCTTCTGTTACTGGCTTACTAAAGAAAGCTTTCTTTTATGACCTCAAATCAATATTAACGTCATACTGATCTTAGGCTTCATTTTTAATACATTTATGATTACCATAAAGATATACATATACTCAATATAAGTATTTTTTGTGACTGTCGCACTTCAACACTGGCTTTCCTTGAATGCCACATCTGCTCTAAAATCCATTGACACTTGTGGCTTCGTAGTGAAGTGGTATTGAATACTTTTGGGAAGTGCTGATGAGACCTATTGTAGGTAAAAACCGCAGCCCACCATGAATAAGACAACATTTGGAAGGCAATGTTTAGTACATTTCAGTGGCGTCATGAAGGTTATTCTTCTCATTGTGGGAACTCTCAACTATCAATCTTTAATCGAAGATATGAAGACCAAGATTGTGTAGCCTTTTGTATGGCCGCAATCTCTTTTCGCTGTATAGAAGCTGTTTGACCTTGTTTTCGCAGCTTGGTCTTCCTACCAATATGACCATGTTGTTAAAACAAGATAAAACAACTTCTATCAGTCTGTAAATTACCTTAAACTACCTAGGGTAATTAACTTCTTATATAAGAATAGATAATTTTTCTTATATTTTTGCAGACGGATAGCTATTCTAATCTTGGGTGTTATAGGCACTAGGCCCGCTTGAGGCTTCTCTAAAAACGTTATTCCTTAACTCAGATTATCTTTACTTAACTAACTATTTCATTGCAACGGGTTTCCACCCGGCTCTTGTATTGTACACAAAAATTATGTTTGAACGCTATATTGGGCTCCATTATCTAAGTACTTACAGTTATGTATCGGGTATTATATCACCAGAATTTTCGCAGTCCCTCACCTTATTAGTATATCCCCTACATATCCATATGTGCAGAAGACCTTTACTTATGCACTTCTAACCTTATCCTTTATTATGGTAATTAATCTGTGCTTATATATTTGCATTAATTCATCCCCTAATGAAATTTAATTGCTATTTAATTTAATTATTTAACATTTGGCCTAAGTTCAACAAATTAAACTGATAGAGATGATATACCATCTCCGTCCAAGGTTATAAAATACATAAGCAACGTTTTCAGGGGCTGTTTTCAACTATCCCTAAGATCCATTAGCCTAGTTTAAAATAAACAAGATGGATCATTTTTATATTCATACAAAATAGGTTCTCAAAATTATTATTAGATCTTGAGTAAGGTCACCCTAGGTCGCATAAGGTGATTAAGAGCTGTTAGTTGAATTTTACACATTGATATTATTGGGCCTCATGTTTCTATTGAATTTAGCTTGGCTTTGTTTCCAAAACGTATTATGATCCTAGATGGACCGCAATTTCGACCTTATTCCGTTCTCGTCAGCGCAACCGGCGGTAATTGAACTCGGGCAATACAATGTAGTCCCTTTAAGTTACTACCACGCCATACTGTCACATGTGCCCTGGGTCACAGAGCAGAAGCACATTTAAAGAAAGGACAGGCCTCTCATATCATATTTTTAATGGGACTGTCGAATAAGCAAACTTGTGTTTTTTCATTACAATCAGCTGCGTTACTTATATTCGCATAAAGTAGGTTTTCTAAATTATCCATTATATCGACACTCAATTGTGCAAACCTGTTCAGTGATTTGATTATATTGCAAAATGTAGCTTATTATTTTCCCAACGAGTCTGCGTCAAATTAAAATTTTTGGAATAAATTTTTACAGAGGCGTTTTAGTCATATTAAAAAATCAGAAGTTATCTATTCACTGGCTTATTTCATTTGTATTCCATTTACATTGCCACATTCATGGGTTTAATTTTAAGTGTGTATCATCTGGATACTAAAATTATTTAGGCCAGTTTTCCTTGTCATTCTTTACCGACCACGGTTGCTCTTTAAATCCTTGAATTAAGAT